TATTACTTATTTGCAAAAGCAGCTGTGGCTCGATTGGTAAGGAGGTCGCTTGCGGAGTAAGAGGTCCAAGGTTCGATTCCCACAAATATAGACGTTCTTTATCTTTTCATTTATGTCGGGGTGTAGTAAAAGGTTGGTCTACGTAATAGACAGATAAAATAGCCTACGGCGTATTTTAATCGCGTTGGCTGGTCTCTGAGGTAAGTTTTTCTAGAACACGAAAGTTTTTTATTGCACGCGAAATATGACGCGATCTACCGAGTACAGTCGCATCATCGGGCTGTCGAAATATTTTTATTTTTAGCGTTTAGCGTAGGTCTTAAATCTATAAAGCTCGACCAAGCACACACATTAAATAATTGAAATTGAATTTAATTATTTGAATAAATTTACTACTATTAAAGGAGATCTTGGCTTTTTTTAAATAAAAACGTTCAAAATATTTGAAGGGATGCGACGCATCACCAGCGTCAATGGAAGCTTCACCGCTGATATCCACTGTGTCTTTATAATTTTCATTTGTCAGTCTAGATGACGTCACATGTAAGCCATAAGGCCTTCTACTTTACGAGGGTAAAACTAAAAACGCCCGGCCCAACTGTTGCAACGAATAACTACAAACGGTCTCAGACTACTAGGCTAGATCGAAGCATCTTGTTTATAACAGAAAAATACTAGAAAAATAACAAGAAAGCGTTTTTTACAATCAACTAATGAAGGTGCATACCCTTAAAATTGTGTTAAACACTATTAATTCCTGCTTAATAAGAACCCACACCTTCATATATTGATTATGATTATATCATAGTGAAAATAGTTTTACCAGTGCTGAAGTACATTTTCAGTGCTTTAGAAAACATTTTATCAAATAGGGTACAAAAGCTAAAATAACAAACATTGACTAGGAAGATAAAGAAAAAGAATAGTTTTCTTATATTTCTTCTACACATGATGTTACTGTATAGTAACCTAGAATAATTTATGAGGTTTTAAAAATTATGTTTTAAGTTACTTTTTTAACACCTTGTGTATAAGAAACTATTATTATTAGAACTGCTCTAACAGTTCAACTATCTAAAAATACAATTTATCCTATTTAAAATTTATATTTAGTTGTGTAATTTATAAGGGGAGAGCACTAAGATTCAGTAAAGAAAAAAGAATTTGATTCAAATTTCTCAGATCTATATAAGATATACTTTGATGTACATAATATGGTGAAAAAAATCGGAGAAAAAAAAGGAAAAAACTTAGAAGGAAGAAGGGTGATTAAAGATTTGTAATTTTTTCACATGACATTAAGTTAATTTAGAATATATTGTGTTGTATATGTTATTACAATATCGATAACATTATACATAAAATGTGTTTCAAATGTCATGTAAAATCCAAAAAGCTTTTAAAATATACATACAGTTCTATTTAAAATAAGCAAATTAGTACCTGCTTCCGGTTAAACCGGAAGCGCTAGGAAGTGGAAGATATTTAAAAAATATTCTTAAATTAAAGAATTCAGATTTGTATCTAAATTAGGTTCTCAAAAAAATAATGGACGGGTTGTGAAAAAGACCCTGTTAGCGTAAATTCATTAGAAATAAATATGTTTTAAATAAATCCTAATAAATTATTTTCTTAATAATTTCTAAGACGTTCAATAATTTTGTCCTAATTTAGAACTATTCTACATAATTCTCTTAGTATTTATGACCATATTATTTCAAAGTACCATTAAATTAAAAAATAATTTCATTTTTATAATTATATTGTGCTCAAATAATGATATAGTGATTTAGGTATTATAAATTATTTTCAATATTTTAATTTTTACATCTAATCGTTTACATATAGATAAATAAAATTAAAAATGAAATCTAGAGTGTCCTTATGAAATTGCGTTTTGACTTTTTTTAATTTAAATAATATTCACAGCCAAATAGTACGAAATAAATATTTTTTGTGATAATCACTATATAGAGTAAAGAAAAATAAAATAGTTATGCCTAGTTGAAAACATCAGCACAAGAAATGTTAAAATTGAAGGGTACAGAATATTCGAGTTAAGTATTCCAAAAAAAAATAAAATTACAATATACTGCTTCTTCCAAACAGAATAATCACTATATAACAATTATTTAGGATATACTAAACCTATAGAAAAATGTTCTAATCTACAAGAACTATTGAAATTCAAATTTATTATTATGTTTAATTCATTTATATGTATACTCCGCTGGCAAGCCAACCTTTAGGTCGGCGTTTACATGTATAGGAGTGAGTCGTTATGGCAATCTAGTAAGTCAGAGTGAACAAAAATACGAAGTATTTATTACATAACTACTTAATTTGACGCTAGATTCCATGCGTTTGGGAAAATACTCGCCTTCTGTCTTTATTCAGTACATCTTATTTTACTAAGCGTGTTGACCGTACTCTTGCCAAGACTAAGACCAAAAATGCTAGTCACATAGTGTATTCCGTCTTTTCATGAAAATCCTAGGTCACTTCATGAAGCGTCGGTTAGGTTAGCAGTCTAGTTATGTTATTAGGTTAGTTTTTTTCATTAAGTGACTAGGCTCTTCATGAAAAGACGGAATACACTATGAGACTACGACATATATACTATATACCAGGTGGTGCAACGGCGGAGGAAAGTACCGTATGCTCGAAAAATTAATGGAAAAAAAGGCGTCAGCGATGGCTATGAAATGAAGATCGCTGTCATTTTATATGTAAAATTATATGGAGAATATCATTGATCGTCATTTCCAAGCCAACTGGACGCCGTGTTTTTTTTCGATCATACGGTACTTACTATGTACTTAATTCAGATTTCAACTTACTATATACTATATTTACTTGTTTGTTAATATAAAAACAACAAAACATAATAATAAATTTGAATTTATCATATGTTTTTAATTACCTATTTAGACCTAAGCATATTTATAAATATGAGATACCATTTTTTTAAGTTTTTATTCCAATACAATAGTACCACGATGGAATGTTTCTACAATTTAAAACTAAACACGAAGAGTTATCCTACAACAACAATATTAAATGTTATTTTGAAAAATCGGTACCAAATAATATACAAAGAGATCCTTATGTACGTAGAAAATTTTGTGCCGAGAATTCAATAATGAAAGTGTCTACTTTTGAATATACATTGCATAGAACAACTCTTCTATTAATGCATATTGTGGTTGCTAATTTCATTACGTTTATTTAATAAATCAATTTTAAATTGCTTATTACTATTACCTTAAATGTAGAATTAAAGAAATTATATGTCTCTCTAAAATGTTCCATAGATTTAAGTTTTTCGTGCAAAAGGAATTATATTTAAGAAGCACTTTTATACTTGAAAAAAAAAACGGCGTCCAGTTGGCTTGGAAATGACGCGATCGATGACATTCCCCATATACAGGGTGTCCCAGGCTGAGCGTGCATTAGAAGTTTCTAGAGAACCACAATATCTAGATCGGTGATTTTTTGTACATCATTGTTTCACAACGAAATCTATCGATTAAAAATATTTTCAATATGGCGGCACTTCCGGAAATACCGGAAGTTGACAGCAACTTTCTTATTTTAAATGGGAGACCCCATTTTTTATTGCATACTTAAATTCTCCGTAAAATTTTATGAATTTTGATATTAAACACTCTATATCTAACATTAACCGTTTTTGAGAAAAAAAATATTTAAAATTTTTGGACGAAAAAAATTGCTTGTCAAAAATATGTGTATAGCCTACACGTCAAAATTAGTGGTTACCATAGTGTCATAAAGAGAAGATATGTGATTATCTATTTAAAAAATTAAATTGTTCGAATGTCATATAGTAATGACCTCGGTAATGACGTTAGCCGTCATGGAATTGAGCGATTAAAAAATTATCATAAATCATTTTTTTCAAATGGAAACCCGCTTTTTTATTTCACTAGTGAAAGGTTTTCCATTTCGTTACTTTTTGAATATACATGTTCCTATACCTAAAATAAATCGTTTTTAAGTTATTTAAGATTTAGTTTGAAAACGTATATTTTTCTTGATTTTATCTAGATTCCTTTAACAGTAAGTGTCAAACAGTCAGACAATTATTTATTTCCATCTATCAGAAAACGAATTATTTGAATTTTCTATACTATAAATACTGCCTGCTTAAGAATTTAAAAAGTGTATTTATAAAAATATATCTCGTATTTTCGCTCTTTAGTGATATGTAATAGTTGATCGAAAAAAAAACAGTGCAAATTGTCTTGGAAATGATAATCGATAACATACTGCTTTTTGAACAAAGTGTCACAATATGATATATCTACTAGACGTTTAAAGTCACAGGCTACTGGTTAAAATCAAGAAAAGTATACGCTTTAAAACCAAATCTTAAATAACTTAAAAACAATTTATTTTAGGTATAGGAACATGTATGGTCAAAAAGTAACGAATTGAAAAGCCTTTTCACTAGTGAAATAAAAAAGTGGGTTTCCATTTGAAAAAAATGATTTATGATAATTTTTTAATTGCTCAATTCCATGACAGCTAACGTCATTACTATATGACATTCGAACAATTTAATCTTTGAAATAGATAGCCACATGTCTTCTCTTTATGACACAGTGGCTGTGGTAACCACTAATTTTGACGTTTAGGCTATACACATATTTTTGACAGGCAATTTTTTTGTCCAAAAATTTTAAATATTTTCTTTCTCAAAAACGGTTAATGTTAGGTATAGAGTGTTTAATATCAAAATTCATAAAATTTTACAGAGAATTTAAGTATGTAATAAAAAATGGGGGTACCCATTTAAAATAAGAAAGTTGTTATCAACTTCCGGTACTTCCGGAAGTGCCGCCATATTGAAAATATTTGTAATCGATAGATCTCATTGTGAAACAATGATGTGCAAAAAATCTCCGATCTAGATATTGTAGTTCTCTAGAAAGTTCTAATGCACGCTCAGCCTGGGACACTCTGTATATAAAATGACAGCTATAAAATGAAGATTTTCATAGCCATCGCTGACGCCGTTTTTTTTTCGATTATATTGTACAATACTACTCAATTTTACTAATTCTCAATTCAATATCAAACATTTCATGAGATAAGGTTTAATTTTTTATTAACATTATAATTCCTTTTGTTTAAAGTTTATCTTATAGGAATGAAATATTCTTATAAGTACATCCATTCTTTATTCTACTTTTCATTCTATTTAAAATCTACCAAACGTAAAGAAATTAGCGTCACTTTTATAGTAAAACACAACAAAAATTGGAACAAAATGTGATACTAAATATTCAAGTGCGCAACCATTTAATAAAAATTTATTAAATAAGAATAGATTTATTACCTATCATCTTAATACAAAGATTGGAAGGAAGGATACCAAAAAAAAATTGCCCTACAGAATACCGAAAAAGCGATGCTACATGTAATAAATTCCCATAGTTTACATAATCCTGTTGCTGGATTTATTAATAGTTTTAATTACAGTGTACTCACAAAAGGTCTGTTTCTATATCTTTTCGACAGTTAGTTATGACAGACAGTTAAAAAGATAAGGCCTCATTATCCATGCCGTCGCAAGTCAAAACTTTGACGAAAATTCACACCTTGTCCCAATTTCTAATGCGTTGGACTATACTACGCCTAAGTAATATGCAGTAGCTCTAATCCAAATACATTTAAAAGACTATACTGCGGTCTTACCGTATAAACAATGAGAGGATTTATGCTCCAGTCATGAAGGATAGAAAATCGAGTTTGTTTGGTTTGAGGACATAAGTTTATCCTTGTTTAGGAGATGGAAGTTATCTCAGTTTTAGCCTGTGTGACGTTTAAAAGAATATTTATTTTATTTATTCTTCTTATATGTTGTAATCTCTTTGTTGTATCTAGCTTGACTTTATATGAACTTTAAATATGTACATACTTTTAGTTATATTTGTTTAATAAAAAAAATATATGTTAATAACAAATATATTACTTTTAAACCAGGTCTCATGGTGAGTATTGATCATAAATACATAAGCAGCAATTATTCTGCAAAGAAAAATTGAGTCTGAAATAGATATAAACAAAATAATAACATTATAAAATAAGTAAATAGAAGATATATGCTAATTTTTGGTCGAAAAAATTTTGCATAGAAAATGTTGTTAAATATACACATAATGCTACATAATTAAACTTAATTAATTTCAGAATATTTAACAAAAAACTTCCGATTTTTGTAAAGATTGATTCAATTATTTGAACGTTTTTAACCTTAACAAATAATTTCAAATAATACGAGTATAAAACATCTTATTTGAAATTATAGGCGCAGAAAACTTCCTACAACCCAACGACAGACTTATGTGGTAAATGCATTGAGACTCTATATCCATCCTTCAACATTGAGACAAAAATTTAAGCGGCACCCGCGGTATATTCTTTTATAGGTATATGCTCTAATCCCTGTATTGGTGGAACGCGTCGCAGCCGGGCCAGGCTATCCCTTCCTCCTCAAGGTCGGCCGTGGATTAGGGGGACAGGTAGTCGGGCGGCAGGACGGAGGAGCCGCGCCCGCGCCCTCTGCCCCTGCCGCGGCCCCTACCCCGACCCCTCCCGCGTCCTCGTCACCTCCGTCCATCTGTCATTCCTGCAACGTAGTCTTTAGAAAAGAAAGAACGAGCGTTACTCGTGTGCCGACACCATGATAGTGATAAATGTCAATTGTCGATGTTCAGTTTAGGAATTTACGAAGGTTGTTTGTAAAGTTTTCGACACAAAACCCCCTTTAGAACTGTGACTTACATGTCATGAAATAAAAGTAGAAGAGGCGACCTCTTGCGTTTGTTCGGGTACTAAAATCATGAAATAATTACCATACATATTTTTTTTTATATACAGGGTGGTCTGAATTGTATTCGGAAAACTTCGGCAGCATATTCTGCGAATAAAAATATGTAAAAAAGTTTGTATAAATGTATGTCCTAAAATGCTTAGTTTCGGAGATACAGAGTGTAGAAGTTTCATTTTTATTTCAATTTTTTCCAAATAATTTCTGGTCTGGGTATTTATTGATATATGAAATTATATTTCGATGTCAATACGACTCCTAACTTGTAGGAGGCGCCACAAGCATGTTTTTGAACTGTTTTGAAGAGTAATAACTTTTCGTCCGTACCTGTATGTACTACCTACTGAGTGAAAAAAAAACACATTTTCGACCTTTTTTACCTAAAAAGTTCTCTTGATAAAAAGCGCTACAAGTAAGAGCGCTTGCACACACACCAGCAAAATCAAAGCCGGTTCAGGTACCGTGCCAACGAGCGTTCCCAAGAGAAACTTTTAACGTAAAAAACGGCGAAAATAATATTTTTTCACTTAGCAGTTTAATACAGGTACGGGCGGAAAGTTATTCCTCTTCAAAACAGTTACAAACATGTAGGTGGCGCCCCCTACAAGTAGGAGTCATATTGACACCAAAATCAAATTCATGTCAAAAAACATCCAGAATTCAGACACCAATTTCCATCCAAATATCGATCTTACAGTTCGTCTGCTGGATCTGTGTCTATGAAAGGAATGCGGACAAAAAACATTTAAATAAACAGCAATATATTTTATACGTCGACTTGACGAGTACGTCACCGCAAATGCGCCCGCCCACTCATTTTATTGGCTACTTGCAAATTTGTCGATTTTTTATTGATGGGACGCGTGGTCTAATTTTTTACGAAAAACATCGAGAGAATATGGTTTCCCCTCTCACGGATACCCCGTAGCCGCAGAACGGACAGACGTACTGTAGATCAAAAATTATTTGAAACCACTCGAAATAAAAATGAAATTTTTACAGCCTGTATCTCCGAACCTACGCATTTTAGAACATAAATTTATACGAACTATTTTACTTGTTAATTCTCTTCTGCAGATAAACATAATGTTTATCTGCAGAATATGCTGCTGAAGTTTACCGAATACAATTCGGATTACCCTGTAAAATAGATATACCTATTAAAATAAAACGGAATTTTATTTTCACATTATTGTAAAATTACAACTAAAAAATGGTTCTTCAAATATTTCCGGGAGTTTAGAAAATGAAAAAAAAAATGCTATTTTTATTTTCGCACTTGTAACAGCACTGTTTAGCACTTGTAAGAAGTTTTGAGTTGTCTCAACCAAAAAAAGCCATTTTAATGTAAATAGGAATTTAAAATACAAATGTACTTCAAATGTACATAAACGTTATCTTCTTCTTCCTGTGCCTTGTGCTTAGCTGCACGTTGGCGATTGTCTGTACTCTTCATACAATGTGTAGAGTGCCGTTTTCGGCTCTTCGAAATATGGTGGCTGCGTCGCTGATGTTACACCAATCCCGTATGTTTCTTAACCAGGAATGTTGTTTTCTTCCTGGGCCTCGCCGTCCCTCTATTTTTCCTTGTAGAATCAGCTTAGGCATGTAATATTTGTCTCCTCTAAGGATATGGCCGAGGTATGAGACTTTCCTTTCTTTAACTATATTAAGCATTTCTCGTTCATAGCCTGCAGTTCTTAAAACTTCTTCGTTGGTTGCATGTGCGGTCCATGGCACACGTAAGAGTCTCCGGAGAGTCGACATTTCGAAAGCCTCGATGCGGTTCAGGGTTCTAGCCTTAAGTGACCAGGTTTCTGCGCCGTATAGTAAGATGGGCCATATGTAGCATTTTACTACCCGTAGTCTAAGTGTTAGCGGGAGACTGCGTGCTAATAGGAAGTTTTTAAGTTTAAAAAATGTTGACTTTGCATAATTCGTTATGAGTTTAACTTCCTCATCGCAGTCCCATCGTTCATTGATCATGGACCCAGATATTTAAATCGTGGAACTCGCTCTATAATATTTCCATCCACGGTCAATGCGGTGTTGATTGTAGGCTGGCGCCCTATTACCATAAGTTTGGTCTTGGCAGTGTTGATTTTAAGACCGAAACGATTTCCCATGTCCCCTATCTTATTTATTATTTGCTGGAGATCCTCTAAAGTTGGTGCTAGTATTGCCGTATCATCTGCATATCTTATATTGTTGATTGGAACTCCGTTAATCTTAATTCCTCCACTTTCTCCTTCCAGGGCCATTTGAAATATTTTTTCGACGTATACAGACCTGACGGACTCCTTGACACACATTGAAGGTGTCTGTGGATAAATTTTTGTTAACTCTTATCTCCGCGGTTTGGTTCCAATATACTTCCTGTATGATTCTAATGTCTTTGGCGTCTATTCCTATCTCGAGCAGTCTGTTTAGGAGAATATCGTGTTTAACGTTGTCGAAAGCCTTCTGATAATCTACGAAGCACACAAAGACATCTTGGCGTTGATCATAACATTTCTGGATTAGTAGCTTGATTGAAAACAAAGCCTCTCTGGTACCCAGCCCCTTGATGAAGCCGAACTGTGTCTCTCCGCTTTTTCCTTCACATTTCGAGTATATACGAGCATGCACGACTCGAAGAAAAGTTTCAGAGCATGACTCATTAGACTTATAAGTCTGTAGTCACTACAGTCTTTTGGAGATGCCTTTTTGGGAATTGTTATAAAAGTTGATTTTAGCCAGTCGTTTGGAATTTTACCCGTATCGTATATTCGATTGAATAGATATGTGAGATGCTTTAGTCAAATATTTTAAGAACTTCTGCATGCACGTTGTCATTCATGACTGGGGCTTTTTCGATTTTTCATAGCTTTCATAGCATGCTGAACTTCAGATTCAAGAATTTCCGGGCCCGACCAGTCTTCACAATTGAGAGGTTGTCTGTCTTCTCTTTGGTCTTCAAATAATAACTGTGCGTAGCTTTTCCATGTGCTGCATAGATCTACCGGGTCTAAAATCAATTTCCCATTGTGTTTTAGGGCAGGTATTGAGACATATAAACGTTATAAATACAGCAATTAATTAAAGAAAAAATATACAGGGTGAGTTTCCTACGATGTTCTCTGTAGGTATCTCGGAAACTACTGGAGATAGAGAGTCGGTTAAACAGGGAAAGAATTGCAGTTTTGTAGGGTCATAAATATGCGCCTTTCAGATTTTTGAAAAAGTTCATGGCTTACTAGATATTTAGAAAAAAACAAATTTCGGCTATTTTAAAAATTGTCCTTAATTCCATTATAAGCTATTTTAGACAAAAAGTTTTCAGATAAAAGTTGTAGATAATCACATCCTTAATGAGATTGTGTCCTCCGTTTTTTTTTTCTAAAGCCTGTCATTTTTGACATTTGACACAAACATGTTTTTTTAAATGGAAACCATAGTTTAAAATTATCGAGTTATAGCCAATTCTTATCATTTTTAAATAATTTCACTTAGTTAACCATGGAAACAATCGTCTTTGCTCTTATAAATGTGAAGCTGCCACATCCAAACTTTGTAAATTAAAGTAAACAAAAATTGTAAATATGAATTTTTCAAATGAAGAAAAGCGTGTAAGATTTGTAAGAGTCCCAATTTATTTTTCTTTGGTTCAGTGAAAAATAAATAGCCTTACTGGCGTACAGTAGTAAACTTAAATCTCTCAGGCGCCACCTCTGTTATTTATAGTGGAAGAGGTCCACGTTTCGCCAATACGGGTAGCTTTTATACAGTGGAGATACCAGGGAGTGATGAAATGAAAAGAAATAAAACACACAGTTAACTATAACATAACATTTAGGCTTTATTTAATTAATTAACTATATGCTAAATACCCCAGGAAGTTTCACGACTTTAAATTGTAATGAAAGTGAAAGAAAATTTATAATTAAAGACTCGTAAAATAAAATTTACAACAGCAATCGAGCACCTCTAGAGTTTTGACCGTATAATCTCGATATGCAACTCACTGTCCGATTTAATCACGCGAATTCAAAGCGCGTTTTTGACATGACGTTCTAGTAAACAAAACGACGCGAGTTTCTAACCGGCGTCTAACTTAACGGCGTCCTAGTAAACACAGACATGTACGTACCAGAGCGATATACTCTTTTATAACCCGACTTTCTAAACGTCGGCGACGTCGTTACAGACGTCCCGGGATAAACAAACGCGAGCCCTGGATCGTTCGCAGTAGAACAAAACGGCGTCCTGTGGGATAATTACGCACCCGAGCCCTGAATCGTGCGCAGTAGAACGAATCGGCGTCCTGTGGGATAGATACGCACGCGAGCCCTGAATCGTTCGCAGTAGGACGAAACGGAGTCCTGTGGGATAGGTACGCACGCGAGTCCTGGATCGTTCGCAGTAGGACAAAACGGAGTCCTGTGGGATAGGTACGCACGCGAGTCCTGGATCGTTCGCAGTAGGACGAAACGGAGTCCTGTGGGATAGGTACGTACGCGAGCCCTGGATCGTTCGCAGTAGAACGAAACGGCGTCTCGGTTAGTCGTCTGGATAAGCACAGTCCACACCGCCCGGTCAGGACCACCTCGGGATGTCGGCGAGATCCCACGGCGCTCCTGATGAGAATACGGGAACTACAGAACCAGTCTCGGGATGGACGAGATCCTGCCTTAGCTCCAAGGATATTCGCGCCCGTATATTTGTTGTACTACCTTAACCGCTATCTGTCTCCCTTTTAACCAAAAGAAATCGGTCTTCGCGTCCACGGGATCCGGACAAAATGCCTCAACCTTGCATGTATTTTTACTTCTATAGTAGGACAGTTGACACCTTGAGCGGATACAAGTCTGGTTAAATTTTACGTACGCGCGTTTCGGACCAAGATGCCTCTACCTTGCACGTATTTTTACTTCTACAGTAGGACACGAGACACCTGGAGCGAATTTAACTATCTCTATCTCCCTTATTCTATAACGCGTTTAGGCAGTAAAACAAACCGTATTAACAATAAAAAGAAAACGACCTACTCTCGATCACTTTGGCGGCTGGACTTACCTTCTTCAGAGCGGCAACGGCGGCTGGCAGCAGGGTACTTGGCAGGGCACTCCGGGCTCGAACTTCACTGTTCACGTGCGATCACAATTCACTCACTACCTGGCGCTCTCGCTGCCAGGGTATACTCAAACGACCCTCCCCTCCACTCGACCGGTACTGGTAGGGCCAGCTTCTCGGCTGCCGTACCGAACTATAGCGAGTAACGCCGATCAAAACTCTATTACAATATGGTCATTAAATATCTAACGCATTTAATTCAACAGTAAGAACATTATTGTCTAAAATAGCTTATAATAGAATTAGGGACAATTTTTAAAATAGCCGAAATTTGTTTTTTTCAAAATATCTAGTAAGCCATGAATTTTTTCATAAATCTGAAAGGCGCATATTTATGACCCCACAAAACTGCAATTCTTTCCCCATTTAACCGACTCTCTATCTCCAGTAGTTTCCAAGATACCCATAGAGAACATCGTAGGAAACTCACCCTGTATATTGATAAATAAAAAATATTTGTCAACTTAAATTCAAATAAGTAATAAGTGCGACCCCAAACATCAACAATTGATACTTTAATGAGTGGCAGCAATTCCCAGTTATTGCTATTATAGAAAATGTTCTAAAGAGGGTGGTTTTGTAAATATATAGATAGATATATTTTTTGCAAATTTTTTCTTATTTAGGCCTTTTTGAAAATACACTCAGATGCAAAAAAAACGCAACGGAGAAATTTTTGGTCATATTTAAAGTGTAATATTTTTGTTATTTTCAGGCCTATTTTCATGAATTTTTTAGCAAGCTGTATATAATTATATCACCTTTTATTCGCAAACTCAGCTTTTTAGAAACTTTAGTATTTGGCATATTATACATGGTTAATCGAGGGGTTGTTTTTTTACCTTAATTTAAAACATCCTGTGCAATAATTTCGTGTGTAAATTTTCCTAAAATATAATTTTGCAGTCAGAACCATGTTTCCTGAGCATTTTGGTTTTTGGATCATGTCAATACAAGTCTTGGTTAATTTTTAAGAGCGAAATGAGTTCGCCAACAACAATTCACAATTTTTTCAATTAATTATCATTTCTATTTTTAAGTTATTTTTCAATGTGACAAGGCGGCTTTGGTGATTATTGTGAACTATATACTACTATGAACTGCCAATCATGTTCTACGTTTAGCAAATGCTTGGCAGAAGGGTAAGAGATCGCGAAGCAGGACCAGCTTCATTAAATGAACTTCGGTGATCCTTAAAGAAGAATGGGAAAACATAACGCGATATGATATATGCAGCCTCAGTGATAGTATTAACGGACGTATACAGGCAGTTATAGCAGCCGGCAATATATAAGGGCAGCCGGCAATATATAAGGGCGGCAATACAAAGTATTAGAGTATTTTTTACAATTTTTTTTCCTCTTAGTATACCTACTTGAGTACTACAGATGTTTTCTTTAATATCGTTAGTTCTGTTACCGTTATTAATGTTTATTAAGCCCCGGACTGTATGATTAATCTTTAACGTTATTTTTTTAATTTAGTATATAGTATCCAATGCAGTGTAATATGACGTTACAACAGTCACCAAAACCATCTCTTCATTAAAAATTACATCAAAAATAGTAATAATTGAAAAAATGCAAATTGATCGTTATCAGTTCATTTCGCTCTTAAAAATTAACCAATGCATGTATTGACATGAATCAAAAAACAAAATTATATTTTAGGAAATTCACAGACGAAATTATTGCACAGCGTGTTTTAAAGTTAATGTAAAAAAACAACCCCTCGATTAACCTTGTATAATATGCCAAATACTAAAGTTTATAAAAAGTTGAGTTTACAAATTAAAGTTCATATAATTATATACAGCTTGCTAAAAAATTCTTGAAAATAGGGCTAAAAATAACAAAAATATTGCACTTTAAATTTAACTAAAAATTTCTCCATTGCGTTTTTTTTTGCATCTGAGTGTATATTTTTATTTTTATTATTACGCCTTTATTTTACTAATTTCTTATTTTATTTACTCTATCCTAATTAAACATGTAATGCCTAGTTTTCATGCATCCGAATTTTGGACCTTTCTGCGAAAAAATAATGTCACAAATTTTGAAAAGTTCAAATTTAACGTTTTCGTGTTATGCATAATATTTTTTACAAATTTCTTGATAAATATTGTGTAGATAGCTGCCCGATAGAAGTCCGAAATTCGTATAATTGTTAAAACTTCCATAACGTTTTGCAAATTTCGTCATAATCATATTGTTCGTCCAGAATTCAGATGCATGAAAAGTAAGCTTAAGCGTAGGTTTACATGCATCTCTTTAAAGCGTCGTCAGTCATGGTCTTTATGCAATTTTATATTTCAAAAATAACAGATCACACTTGGTCATGATTGGAGTTACGGAACCATGGATTGGACGCGTGATGAATGCCTAATCTAAATAAACTAACCTTTACTGTGAGTTTATAAGCATCCGGCATGCTTTAACTATGATCTGTTATTTTTTAAATAATCCAATAATATGATGCATTTCAGATGCATGTAAACCCACATTAAAACTGTTAGAATGATTAATGCATCTTTTAATCTTGAAATGAACCATAGTATTTGCACTAACCCAGTGATGGCGAGCCTATAACACGCGTGTTAGTGCTGGCACTTGAGCTCATTTTTGGTAGCACACATCTTCAAAGATAAAAAATTTCATAATTCAAATATTTGTCTCAGCCAAGGGCGGCATAACGGCCAGAATTAGTTATTAATAATATTACCTATGCTAATTATAATTAATAATTTAATTCTGAAACACTATCTTTTAAATGGCATTAAACAAAAATTATAAACATTTCTATTTTTTTTAGTGTTTACTTTTTGTGATGTGTGACAAAACCAAGAAAAACTTTGACACACCGAGCTCAAAACGTTCGCCATCACCGCACTAACCAGATTAGTATTTAAAGCAACTCTGCTTACCTATATTACTCGTAGTTTTCTCTAGATAAGCCAGTGGTCCCTGAAGAACGCCCCCAGGGCCGGCTTGGGGAAAAGGGCCGCCCCTGGCTCCGCCCATGCCCTGCTGTTGCATGAACATGGCTTGTTGGGGGGACAACATACCGCCGCCCACACCGCCTCCAGTCAAACCAGGGGGGACCTTAACAAAAGCAACAAAAATATCTCAGTATCGGTGAGATTTCTTTAAACCGTGTTGGAAACGCATCTTTAATAGATTTATTCGAAAACATTATTTTAGACAATTTTTGTATACTTGTTAACCAACCCTCCTGGTTTAACCCGGGACATTCATCAAAAATAAAGTGTAAAAATGTGATTTCCAAATTTTTTTATTGGATTCTATATTTCACTTCCTACATTTTCAAAACAGAAAAAAATAATCATAATAATCTAGTTCATATATATTCAGATTTGCAACGAAACGTATATATATATTATTGAACGTCACACTAAAAAATAGAAAACAATTTTTAAGTAAAGGCACATTTGAGTAAGTTGACAACGTATACTACACAAATATCATTTTTTTTTATATAATATACTACATTTTACATTATCACATTTGACGTGTTTCTTTTTCAGTTTTTTTTTGGAGATGAAGATATTGCTCTATTATTAAAAGAAAACCCTGAGAGTTAGTATACAAATATACAATATTACTAATTGTGTCAAAGAATAATAGGCGAATTAGATAATAATCCTTTACCTCAAAATTAGTTTGAGTTCTTACATTGCAACTGCAGTAGACATGAATAATGTAATGAGTATAATATGAAAGTGGAACTGTATAGGTCATGCTAATAATAAATATCTGATAAATAGGGAAAATTGTAGGTATACTATAATTAATGTACAATTATTTTTTATAAGAAAATATTATTTGTATTTATAATAAAGGATTAAAAGTAGACTCTCAGAAACAGAAACTTTAAATATAACACACAAATAGTGTTCTTAAACTTAATGTAACTAACTACAAATCATTAAGTTTATGTGATAAATTTAAAACTAACAAATGGCAAGATTAGTTTAAATATATATAAGGCTCAAACATGATAAAATATTTTTTACAGAATTAACCTGTGATTTTAGATAAATCTACCTCAGAAAATAAAGTATACAGGGTTATTCATGTTATTCGAAATTGTGAATGTTGCGATTGACTGCTAGAGCTACAATTTAAAATCTCATAAGTTATAGAAAGTCCCAAATAAAAAAAAATATTAAACTCTCATAACATTAGCCAAAATTCGATTTTTTATAATTGGACATGCTGGAGTAAATTCTTATAAACTTTTTTAATATCCCAATAATAATTTTTTACCATTTTTTATTTTATGGCACACCCTATAAGATACAGTTATATTTTAAGTAATTAGAATTTAATCTACTTTAACGTGTAAGACCCATATGCAGCATACTATTTTGTTCCAACACTGTATAGAGCAACCTTAAAAATGTTTTTAAAAAATATAACATTAATTTAAATGTTTAAAAGATTGAAATATGTTATAGTTTTAAAACAAGAATGTAAAAAATCTCAAAATGTTTAAGCCTTAATATATTATATTTAGGTACTGTAAAAAATAGCAAATATATGGTACTTATAACAAGCAAGGTTCTTGAAATATTTACAGATAAAAAATATAAAAATAATACCCAGATTTAAATAGCCCATATAAATACCCTGAAAAAAATACTTTTTGATTTTTCTCTAAAATTCTATAACAAAAATCATTGAATGTTATAAGTACACAACAATACACTGTTAATATTATATTTAAATAATATATCTAAGAGCGTCTTTTATAATTTATGGCACACATATTTTTATATCACTAACAGACTTGTAAAGCTTTTTAAAGAGTTTCCAAATTGATTATTTAGGAAGCTGTCAATACTTGGTAGTAATGAATACTTTCGTATACTAATATGAAAATGATAAAATAAACTATATATTACATTTATTTCAAATCTATATGAGCAAAATTGAAATTAATATTACATAATAAAATTCTAAAAAGAATTCTCTGTATACACTAAAATCTTAAAATAAATATTTTTTTACTTTTTCTTTAAATTTTTTTTTGAAAAGCATCCACGTGAATTTTTACTAATACCGGGTGCGTCTCAGAAGTGGCTCATCCCTATAACTTTTTTTTATTTTTTCAGATAAAAAAACCAGATTTGGTATGTTAGTATATGACATAAATTAGGATTGATTGACGTATTCAATTGTTTTTGGTTACTTCCTGTTTCACCGGAAACAATTACAACTTTTGATTTTTAAATGGCGCCCTCGGTATTTTTTTACTTTATTCGATAGAAAATGACACTCTGAATAGAATAACATATCATATGTCAACTTTTGACATTTTCGCATATGGTTTATTTGAAATTATAACTTGCGGTTCGTAACGGAAATTTGACTCGAAATACCAAGTGTGTGGTATCAAATTCTTCGCAAAAAAATGCTTTTTCCAAATATGCTAATGAGCCACCCTCGTTCCATTTGAAAAAATTGAGATGATTAAAAATAAGTTTTGGGCATTTTCTAACTGGCCAGGACAAGACACTAAATACATTAGACGATCAAATCTATTTTTCCAAGGCTCCTTGATTAAGAATTAGTGTTTTTAACATAGCCAGGACGCTTTAGATTGAATTTTAAAATACAATTTTTTATTAAGCGAGAATGTCACAAGTTGACATATGATATGTCATTCTATTCAGAATGTCATTTTCTATCAAAGAAAGTAAAAAAATACAGAGGGTGCCATTTAAAAATCAAAAGTTATAGTCATTTCCGGTGAAACAGGAAGTGACCAAAAACAATTGAATACGTTAATCAATCCTAATTTATGTCATATACTAACATACCAAATCTCGTTTTTTAATCTGAAAAAATAAAAAAGGTATAGGGGGCGAGCCACTTTTTTTAGACGCACCCGGTATAAAGTAAAATAATTTACAAATTATGTAATTAACTGGTAAAAAATAAAATTAATAGTAAAAAGGTAGAATAGTAAAATATTTCTTAAAAATGAATATCTGTACCAATTTAATATTTTTATATAAGAAATCAACGTTTAAATATACATCCACCTTTAATTTATTTTTATATTAGAATAATATCCACTAAAGCAACATTAATAATCATTTATTAAACATTATACAGGGTCGCCGTTACGCCGATACGCCGTTTTTAGGATAGTGTGGCTGCACCCTAACATGCGTTTAAGTTTTTTAAAATTGTTCATTCGTATGTTAGGCCCTTATTCATATTGATAATCCTTCAATATATAATTTTAAGTGCGTATACCAGTTTTTTTCCTGGTAAGTCAATGGTACCTGTTTTAAAAATAATAATATAGCGTTTAACGCCTTGGGAGTAGGTACAGCTTGCCATGCTAGAGCTGTTCGGTATACAAGGAAGGTAATGTGGCTGGCACTACGCTTCAACCGCCTGTTATTACCTCAGGATTGTGAATCCCAAGTACGCATTTAAGGCTAGCTAGAGTCAACCAACTAGGTATCCAAACTATTTTTATTTTATAAAAAATAGACGGCTGATGAACTGCCGGCTGTAGGGTTCGAACCCACAACCTTTAGATTGGTAGACGAAAGCTGTACCTCAACGCCACCGGGCACCAGATTTTAAAAATAATCTTATGAAAAAACTTCTATACCTACTACAAAATACATTTTGATACTCTAGAAGTTCAAGATGCCTAAAATAACTAAATATACTCGTATATACGTAAGAATACTCTTAAATTGTATAAAAAAGTCTATTTTCAAAGCATCAACATGGTTAAAGGTGTTTTACCAGTGTCTCTTTTCTCGCGTAAAATAAGTAATAAACTTTGCGATGAGTACTTGTTCGTTGTCGCTAAATCGGCATTTTAGTAATAAAAAAATTGAATATCAGATTAAAAATCAAAAAATCAAAATTAAAAATTGTCTGACAGCCCAATCAAACTTTAATTTTGACACTGATCGATGTCCATGAATAAAATCATAACCCCATATCAAATGGCAATGACAATTACTAAAAGCAAATATTGACACTGATCAATGTCCATCAATAAAATTATAACCCCAAATCAAATGACAATGACAATTACTAAAAACAATGTGCAGTAAGCAGTAATTTACGAAATGCCGTAATGACATCACCAGTCTGTTTTGTCTGGTTATCAAGTGAAAGAGAGAGTTTGACAATATATGACGTAACGTTGAACGATAGATGAACAAACTATATTAATAATGTGACAAAAATATTGTGTTGGTTTAGTGGATATATAATTTTAAATTGACATGGTGTCAAAACAAATTTATCTACTCTATGGCAAATGGTATACAGTTTAATTTATTGATACTGGGTGTCCCAAATCACATGGGCCGTTTTTAACTAACACTCAAAATAAGAATTTTCTGTACTTCCACTGGTAAATACCCTTGATCAATAAGAGGAGAGTCTTTGTGGAAAACATGGTTGAAAAATAACATTTTTAAACAAATCATGTTTTTATGGTTTAAAACAGTATTAAACAAAGTGAGATTATTATACCTTAAAGAAATCGTCGTAAAAAAAAGTTACCAAATTTAGCTTCCAAAATTTGCAAGATAAAGGAAATAAAAATGAAAAACGCAGGCCAAAGACGGCTCAATTGCTGGATCAAATATACAATTAATGTGAGTAAATGTTTCATCAAAATGAAGAATATTCAGTATGATGAAACCAATTATGGAACACCTAGTATAAATAATTATTAAAAATCCCAGATTAAAGAAAAAATCTACTCCTAACTGTCTAAGAGAACCAAAAAAAGACATAATTTTACTTACATATGGCAAATATAGTTTGAATATATAGATATTATTGAAAGACGTCGAGTTAATAGTGATTATTAATTATTCTTAAAAGAGTTTTAATCACAGATTTATAGTGATTTTCATTTTTAACCTGTCCTTGATTAGAAGCTTCCAAATACAAAGTTTACATTTGAAAGTGTAAATATATTGACAGTTTTGATCGTTCCATTAAACTTTTATGCTAGAAAAATATTTTTTTACTTATTGAACGCGAAACATAATAGAATAGAATCAATTAAATATTTACAAAACACTAAAATGAAAAAGTAATGCTACAACATTATGAATTTTCAATCTATATCCTTTTTCTCACCAATAAAGCCATCAACATATACAATATAACAAATGATAATTATGTTATAGAGTTTGTTAAAAAAAGCTACGTGAAATTTCTTCTGATTACCCCATAACAAAAAAATAATTTTGACATCTCAGACAGTCGTGCCAGCATCGTACCAGCAGGAAAAATCCTCTCTGAATATTCAAGTGGGGTTAGGTGCCCAAATATCAAAAAAGTCAAAGAGGAAAGTACCTCAAAATTTAGTATCTCAAAAAAGCTAATTTTTAAGATACCAAACTTGTTGCAATGAAAAGAAAAACAACCCAACCTAGCATCCCCTTTTTTTGTCTAGAATAGAGAATCAGATTATTAAAAATACCTATAAAGTAACTTTGGATTTATTAGTTTAACATTTTTACTTGACACATAGACGTAACATTAAATTTTAAACAACTTTCTTCTTTGATATTTTTCGATATTTTATCATCTAATCCCCCTTTTGCATATGTATAGAGTATTTTTGTAATTTGCCGCTATGACAGTTGCGGCATCGGCATGATATACCGGATGCGTCTCAAAAGTGGCTCACCCGTATAACTTTTTTAATTTTTAATATAAAAAAAACGAGATTTGGTATGTTAGTATATGACATAAATTAGGATTCATTGACATATTCAATTGTTTTTGATCGCTTCCTGTTTCACCCGAAATGACTACATATTTCGATTTTTAAATGGTATATTTTTACTTTATTCAATAGAAAATGACACTCTGAATAGAATGACATATCATATGTCAACTTTTGATATTTTCGCTTTAAAAAAATCGTATTTTAAATTTCAATCTCTACTGTCTTAAAAACATTAATTTTTAATCAAGGAGCCTTAGAAAAATACATTTGATCATCTAATGTTTTTTGTCTTGTCCTGGCCAGTTAAAAGATGCTCAAGTCGTTTCTTTAATCATATCTCAATTTTTCCAAATGGTGGCAGTCGTATTTCAAATTTAAATCTAGAATGCCATGGCTGTGTTAAAAACTTTGAACTTCTGTTTTTTCCCGTATCTTGTCCTGGCTAGTTAAAAGATGCCCAAATCGTATTTTTAATATCTCAATCTTTACAAATGGATCGAGTGTGGCTCATTAGCATACTTGGAAAAAGCATTTTTTTACAAATAATTTGGTGCCACACACTTGGTGTTTCAAGTCAAATCGTCATTATGAATCCCATGTTGCTATTTCAAATAAACCATATTTGAAAATGTCAAAAGTTGACATGTGATATGTCATTCTATTCAGAGTGTCATTTTCTATCGAATAATGTAACAAAATACCGAGGATGACATTTAAAAATCAAAAGTTCTAGTCATTTCCGGTTAAACAGGAAGTAACCAAAAACAATTATTGAATATGTTAATCAAACCTAATTTATGTTCTATATACTAATATATCAAATCTCGTTTTTTATAAAAATTAGTTTTATCTAAAAAAAATGCAGAATAAAAATATTGCTGTAGCATTAAATCAATAATTAGCACTTCACCGACGATCTACCTGCATTTGCTGCATTTGTTGCATCTGCTGCATCTGTTGTTGTTGTAATTGTTGCTGTTGCATCTGTTGTAGCTGTTGCTGTTGCAATTGCTGCTGCATCGCAGGCGAAATATTTGGCATCATTTGACTTGTGCTTTGGCTTCCTGGCAAATTTGGAATAGGCGATGGTGGAACTGAATTGCTGCTACCACCAGCTCCGCTTGGTGTTGAACTTCCACCTAAAAAAGCATATACAGAGTGACACAATATATAAATATATAGTAAAATAATAGTTTCAGTTAAAAAGCTTTAATAATTTATGACTTTAACTTTGAAGAACCCTTAACTGAGCAGAAAGTTTAATATAAAAATGGTCATATTTCAAAACCCTATATACTATATATTATGCAGATTATGGCATGATTATATTTTTGGAGCAGGAATTTTCTATTAAACCAACTGGGCAAAGAAATTATTGAATTTTCTTTAAAATACAACTTTTGAATGAAAATATATTTGAATTTCTCTGTATATCTATTAAAATATTTTTAAAATGTGCACTACTATTGCCTCCATATTTTTTTAATGGGAACATAGATATAAAGAGCAAATGCATAAAAAATAAACATTACCTGCTTGGGCAGGGCTTTTCGCATAACTATGTAAATCTGCTAACAGATTTTGCCATACAGCAATCTTGTCATAATGCCTCCTAATTAATTCTTCTTTTCTGGCTAATTCTAGTCTAAGTTCACTAATATCCTCTTTAACATTCATTTCAGGTTTCAATGCGGAAAGTAAGAATCTCTTTTGTAAAAAGAAAGCTTCCATTTGTCTTGCAAGATCAATAAATCGGAGTATGGTTTGCTCAACCTCTACCTTTATTTCATCTTTATCTGTAGTGGGTACTGCTTCTTCTTTTGTAAGAACATTCAAACATGACTAAAATTAAGCTACATCAATAACATGCTACACAAAGACACATAGTAATTTGTTTCTCCAATTTACAATGTAGGTATAGAAAAACATAATAACCATTCCTATCTTAAATAGATCTACGAATTAATCAATAAGTTGAAATAAAATACTATAGTAATTACCTGAAATGCTTCCTCAAATTCATCCACCAAATTTCCACTGCTATTTGTGGGAGTGGCCATTGCTGATACTGGTGGAGATGTTTCTTTAAGAGGATTCATAGAAGGAAAAACTATATTTTAATTATGACTAACGCAACAACCGTTATTGTGGGAAGTACAACTATTTAGTCCAGATTTATCAATAAATATGCGGAAAAGAACATTTCCATCAATTAAAATGGTAACTTCATAGGCAGATTGTGAAGAGATGTTTAATAAAGTTTCTGAAACTTTACTAGAGAATAATTTTTCACTACTTTTGATTTCACTTTGATAAACTAAAGACAAGAAAACTTTAATAACGAAATTCTTCAAATTTCTATCCTATTTTAACTTTTTGAACAGTCGCAATCGCTGACAGCAGGCTGACAGTATTGATTTTATTCTGTCATTTCTGTCATTCTGTAATTCTATGACTTCAAAGCATCTGTGGCATAGGGCATTGCTTAATCTATGGCTAAAATCAAAGATAATTGTTGCTTCAAGGGTTCAAGCACTCTTGGTTCAAGCATACTTCAAGATGCTTTAATCAAAATCTTTTGGAATCTTGGAAGCTGGTTGGAAGCAAGAACGGTAAACTGTTCTTGGGTTGGAATTTAGCAACTTATGCTAATTAGCTAATTGCTAACTTCAGTATTTCAAACTTTTTAACTGTGTGGGATTTTGAAAACTATGAAACACTTTTTTTTTAATTTGTATATGTGTAAAAATCAGGTAAAAATACATAAAAAACTTTAAAAATATTTCCGGGCAAGAAATTTATTAGTTATTAAATCATATATAAATTCGCTTATATGATGAGATACGGTTATAGATACGGTAATGCAATATCCCATTCCTAATATGAAAAAGCCAAAAATGTTGGCACTAGTGTGATGTGATATATAAAATTTGAATGTTGGTCACATTGCTTTCCATTTTCCATTGATATTTGTGACGTGTTGAAAAATAAGGAAAAATTTAGAAACATTTGAAAATACAATTTAAAAGGATATCAAAATGTTTAGCGTAAAAGGATATGAGTTTTTAATATTTGTCATATTTGTAGTAGATATATCATCAGCTCTTTATTTCCACATAGCAGAAACCGAGAGGAAATGTTTCATAGAAGAAATCCCTGATGAAACAAATGTTATAGGTATATATTATGACCAGTCCTTTATATATATTTGAATATACCTAAGAACAGTTAGCACTTATTTATATGTAACAATTATTTCAGTTAACTATAAAGTAGAGTTGTATGACCCAAGGACTGGTGGTTTTATGCCTTCATCTCCTGGCATTGGCATGCATGTTGAAGTTCGTGATCCAGATGACAAAACCATTCTTTCTAGGGTGTATTCATCTGAAGGGAAGATCTCCTTTACGTCACATACTCCTGGAGAACATGTTATATGTATGTACTCGAACAGTTCTGCATGGTTTGGTGGATCTCAGTTAAGAGTACATTTAGACATACAAGTTGGTGAACATGCTATTAATTATGGTGAAGTAGTTCAGAAAGAAAAGCTATCAGAATTACAATTAAGAATCAGACAGCTTTTGGATCAAGTTGATCAGATTACTAAAGAACAAAACTACCAAAGGGTGAGAACGCTAAAATTACTAATAATTCATGTTTAAGTGACTCATTGTATTTTTTTATAATAATGTTTGTTATAGTATCGTGAAGATAGATTCAGACAAACCAGCGAGAGTACAAACTCAAGAGTATTGTGGTGGTCAATTACACAAACCGCAGTGCTTATTTTAATGGGAGCCTGGCAAATGAGACATTTAAAAACATTTTTTGAAGCTAAAAAACTTGTATAAAGCTTCTTTTGTTAAATATATTTTTTAAATAAAAAACTGATGTTTATATTGCATTTGTTGTGATCTTAATGAAACACAAACGTTTTGTCTCAAATTACATTTATTAATTCAAGAAACCACAGCATTTATCTAAATATCGGGCAAACAAATTCTTATCTGCTGTTGGGTATGTTTTTAAAGCAGTGAAATCTCTAGTTAAACCATCTTCAAGATTATCAACAGTGCAGTAGTATAAATGCCCATTTTTTTGCAATTGTTCAGCTAGTTCACTTTGATGGTTATCCATCAAATCCTCATTAATAACCACGAGTAATGGTTTATTATGCTTTAATACATCTAAACAAGATCCAGCACCTGCATGACTAATTACTAAATCGGCCTTTTTAATTTCCTCATCAAACTCTTCAAAGAATCGGTTATATTTTAATGTTAAATTTAAACCATCTTTAAATTTTACAGTTGTAGAATCATTTTTTTTATAAATGGTGTGCTTTAAATCGGCATCTATTGATATCTGTAATAATTCAATACCAGTCTGAATCTGTACAAAATCGAAACCTAATTTAACTAAAAGGTTTAATATAGATACGTCTGTAATTCTATTCACTAGTTTTTCAAATTTTGTAGTTCCTACAGTTACAAACAGCTTCCTTCCATTCTTCATATTTGTATATTATATTACCAATAAACAGGTATTTGTAAAAATTTAAAAATACAAAATGCACATCCAAACATTAGCACACATCATCAGAAATCAATAACAAGACTCAGAGCCTATGCTCAGAGCAACACAGAAAAAAGTGTCCTTTAACTTTAACAGAGACAACAGACAACCATAACCACAACCATAACCATAGAAAACAAGAGAAACAACTACATTTTATTGATTTCTGAGGGTGCAGCCACACTATCCCATACATTATCCTAAAAACGGCGTATCGGCGTAACTGCGTAATGACCTTGAATAGATTTCCAGTAATTCTATTGGCTGAAACATTCATCTGTCAGAAATTTTATCTGTCAAAAATTTCAGCCAATAGAATTACTGGAAATCGATTCAAGGTCGTTACGCCGTTAAGCTTGTTTCATATAGACGCGAATTGCGATTTTGCGAAACTGCTCTCATTGGTCCAATTTTAATGATCATGCAGCGCTGTCGGAAATTTTAAGATTTTGGCGATTCGCATGATTTAAAATTTGGGGGGCGGGAAAGTTAAAGTGTTTTCAACTTTTTGCGAATATTCGCGCGATTTGAAGGTTCGCGTTTGCGCAGAATGGTGTTGTGATCCGGTTATCGATTATTTTGACGACACTGCCACAAAGTACCAAAGTACAAAGTAACTGAAAGCATTTCTCCAGGTGAAATGGGTTCTCGTGTATATGTTTTTGATATAATATGGTGACAATTTTTCAACCTAGTTATCAAACTCCTATACAGACAATCTGTGAAAAATATAAACACATCATAGTCAGTAGACTCAATCTGTGAAAATTCCTAAATTTTTTCTCATCTTTTTTCCTCATTTCTTGAATTAAATTGCGATAAGCACCTTGTTGCTTACGAAATTTAAATATTTCACATGTCCCAAATGACCTATAAACCCGTTCTTTTCTATGTTTTAACAATAAGTAAATGGCAATTTTGCACCTTCTGTTCCAATCCCACAATCGTAATCAATATTCATAATCATTAAACAAATTTAAACTCATATTGTATGCTATAAAATATAAAATAAAGATCGTAAACACGAATAAAAACAAATTAAGTTATCTCAGGTTATGATTTTTTTTAGTAACTTTCAGTGGAGCAAAAATGAAATGTCCCTAAAAATTCGCGACTGTATGAAATAGGTCCAAATTTTGCGAATATTTTTTGGCGAATCGCTTTTCGCAATTCGCGATTCGCGTCTATATGAAACAAGCTTTATGCCGTTTTTAGGATAGTGTGGCTGCACCCTGAGGGTGCAGCCACACTATCCTAAAAACGGCGTATCGGCGTAACGGGCGTAATGACCTTGAATGGATTTCCAGTAATTCTATTGGCTGAAACATTCATCTGTCAGAAATTTTATCTGTCAAATTCATCTGTCAAAAATTTTAGCCAATAGAATTACTGGAAATCGATTCAAGGTCGTTACGCCGTTACGCCGATACGCCGTTTTTAGGATAGTGTGGCTGCACCCTGAGTCTCTTTTCCAAGTTTCTGAGCATGGAGCATAAAATGCAGAGTGGAGTGTAAAGGAAGGTATATATGAGATGAGGAAGGTATAAGAGGAAGGTACATCTCTACACTCCATAATGCAGAGATTATGCAGATTTAGAAATTATTATATATGATAGACCTTCCATATCTCCGGGTAAAATCATATATAATAATAAAACATATCATAAAACAACCGCAGAGAACATTTCAGTTATCTTCTTATTTCTAATTATGGCCACTTGCCATTGCAGTCTTCAAGCTACTCTTTTATTCTAAATTTATAAAATATTTGAATTATCATATTTCTGTTTACTTTTTGAAATTTTTATCTTTCGTCAAAGAGTAGCTTTCGTACTCTCCTATGACACCCAATTTTTTTATAATTTATTCATTAAAATAATTTTAAGTTGATATCATATTCACCAACCATATACATCTCGCATACCCTTGGCAGCTCTGGACCAAGATATAGAAGTCAATCTTGACTCAGGTCTCAGGACACCCAGGGGACACCAATCTTTTTGTTCAAAGACACCAATACCACGCCAATACCATAAACAAAGCCAATAAATCATATATAAAACTTCCAGTTGATGTAGAACATATATCAAGAACAAACTTCAAATTGGACATTTTTCGTACTTTTTTAGTTATTTTATGGTTATTTTGAATGAAAACAAATGACAATATTTTAAATTTTAAAATTGTGTTTTAAAACTTACTCTATTATCTACGTTTTAAATACTCAGAAATACGTAAATAGGTTTGTTTTGAGTGTATACACAGTAGTAATGGTTTCCCAAATATTCTTATTTTAATACAAAGTGTTTTAGGTTGTTTATGATGGCTAGACGATTGATTTCTATTTTACTATTGCAAAGATTGTTTCCATTACCGAGGTGTAATTTTAGTGCCAATATAAATCCTTATATAGGATATAATAGTCAATTAACAGTCAGTGTTATAAGACGATATGGCTCAGAACATCCAAATAATAGTAGCATACCATTAGCAAAACTTGAAAGCAAGCTCCATTTAGAATATACCTGCAAAGTTTGCAGTAGTCGAAATACCCATAAAATATCAAGAGTAGCTTATGAAAAGGGAGTTGTTATTGTCGAGTGTATAAGTTGCAAAAATAACCATCTAATTGCTGATAACTTGAATTGGTTCACAGATTTAAATGGAAAGAAAAATATTGAAGAAATTTTAGCTGAAAAGGGGGAAACTATTAAAAAAGTTAATTATGGAGAATTTATTTCAAATAATACTTGAGACAACTTGTTCAAACTATATATTACCATTTGAATAAAATATAAGTTTGATTTTAATGTATTTTTATACTAAATCATATTTGAAAAAATACTGTTATTCCTAAGATGCTTATATGGCCACAATAGGTACAAAATATGTACATAGACATAGACTTACAAATAACTATGTACAGTCGATTAAAATTTTCACAATTTGCTTAAGTAGATAGATATTTTAACATTTCAGAAGAGTTAAGTATATTATGTAATTGTAAGGGTTACATTATAAACTTATTTTCTATGTGAGAAAAATTTATATTTATATTTAGTGGAGATGAGTAGTTTAGAGGTAAATTGTAATACACAGATTGAAATTTAATATTTAAGCCTTTTTTCAATTCTTATTTGGATTATAATTTAATCAAGAAAAAGTGAGTCTAGAACAGCTAGTTATAAAATGGATAAATAATCCAGTATTATCTATATAATTTAAGAGATATACAAATACTAAGATTGGAACATATATAGATAGTTTTATCTTACTTGTTTATATGGCTTTAATACAGAGTGGAATTGTTAAAAAGAACAGTTAGTAAGAATATTACTTAAAAATAATTTGGTGATGTTAATGAAATATCACAGAAAAACTCCAAATTTCCCATCCTTTGGAAAATTATTTTAGACCACTCTCAAGCGTATCAAATTTAATTTTAGGCACCTTTTTACAAACTGTTACTACAGACTAGACCCGTTTTGGTTTACTTACAAGTGCATATTGTGCCTCATTTTGAAAATGATGTGGAATTCTTTGTTTCAAGTCTTTTAACAGTGATGATTTAATCGACTCCTCTTTATTCCCAACTTCTTTTAGGGCACCAGAAGTTGGACTTTTTCTAATTTGGGCATATCCTAAATGAGAATCATTGGCAGATCTTGCAGGTTCTATACACTGAACCTCATCGTAATGGTTAACCGATGGAACTGTAACTGCTGGAGGTAGAGGTGGGGGTAATACTTGTTTATATCCTGAGCTAACGTTAAGTCTACTTGATGAGCCAAAAAAGTTTAAATGGTCATAATATTGACCATCTAAAGAAATACTAGGTTCGGTTATCACAGTTGGGGCTTGGTCCTTTTCACCCGATTCATTTTCAGTAAGCCTAAGTTCACTTGTTGATTTAGCCAGATTATTACCACCACAAGAAATATAGTCATCTTCCTCATTAACTTGTTCTGTATGACTGGGTGTTTCGACACCCATAGTTCTCCAGGCTTCTCGTCGTTTTTCCACGGTATCATATTTACGTACCTTTAAATCTCCAACGCCAACGTCTTGGTAATGATGATCATCATGAGCAGCAACTACTGACATGGGAGATTTTGGTGATATGGATTTTCTTGGAGGTTTTTTAGGTCCAGATTTTCCTCCACTGACACTTTCCAATCCAGAAAGTCCTAGGGAAGAAGTGGTGGGACACATGGTTTCCTGAAAGGAATTGAGCCCAGATCTCAAAGACAATGTAGCAGGTGAAGCTGGTAGCGGGCTTCTTGATCTAGGTTCCATGCCTAATGCAGCATGAAACTGAACATCGCCGCAGTCTAAAAGGGAGGATTTTGATTCTGCATTAAGAAGTTTCTTCATAGATTTCATTTTTGAAGTCAAACATCTAAAAAATTAAAATAAATATTCTAGCTATAGGAAGTGCTTAACAAAACAGAGTTTGATAAAAAAAACACATTGATTTATGATATAAAATAAAAGGCCTTTCATTAAAAATAGTGGAGAGAAATGCCATACCCAGTTTTGATAACAAGCAATTTAGATTATATATGTATTTAGTAGGATTAGTTAACAAAAGACACCATGATAAAATATGTTCAGTTAAGAGGCATAACTAGTAAATAATATGTGACTTTTTAATTTTAAGTGCTTTAAATAGCTAGAAAAATTAATCATATAGCATTCATTCTATTTAAAAACTGCAACTTTAGTGTAAACAAATCTATTTGAATCACCCAGTATAACCCCAAATATCTATGAAAGTATTTTCCAAGAATCTAGGGTGAAATTTTCAAATAAAAACCCTGAAACTTTTTTGGTTACTCTATAGTAGTGATTATTTTATTTACCTGTAAATATCTTGTTGATGTGGATGCTCTAGTAGAAAAGTACCCTCCCCACTAGCACATTTTCTTCCAGCTTCAAAATTAAATATTTTATTCTTATATCCATATCTCCTAATATAACAATATGGCCAAGCATATAACAATTTGTTATCCCCTTCGTTCCTAAGCTGTAAGGCTGTTGGTGTTATTACTAAAGTATAGTTTTTAGTTGCTAGTTTACACCTATTGGAGGCATCAGTAGGGACCAATTTCACATAAAAAACACCTTCATCAGTTGAGCAGTAAAGATCGTTATTTTCTTCGATGCCTGATATTTGAGTGGTTTCATTGGGAAAGGCAACCATTTGTACTGCACGGAACCAGTCATTAAATACTTCTTCAATTTGATCTTCTATAGTGCCAAATTCGTATTCGGCTGCTTTAGTTAAAATGCTGAATATGTTAGGCATTTTTGGGGTTATTTTTATTACATTTTCTAAAGTTATGATTTTTGGTTGTCCAGTCTGTGCTTCATTATCATATATTTCTATTCGATTTATACCAAATTGGCTTGATTTGTATAAGAGACAATACTTTTTCTGCCAAGACTTCTGAAATGTAAAATATTTACTTATTTAACTTAATATAACTATGGGTGTTTAAAATAAATATATTCTAGAGATAGAAGATATATGATGTTACCTACCAATTTCCTAATAAGTGTAAGTTATAACAGAAAATGCAAAGAAAATGATGAAAGAATGTCAACAATGCTAAGGATTTAAAAGATCTCCAAATTATATTAAAATCTGAGACTAAACGTTTAATTACAAATTTTATTATAATTATGTAAAAGTATCAATAAATTAACAGAAAAACAGATAAATACCTTCAGAATTTTTCCACTTGGGGGTAACAGTAGAAAGCCCTGATATACGGGCTCGTCAATTTCCATTTTAACACGCTCTTCAAAATAGTTAATCCTATTATTACAAACACGTCATTTTCCACAATACCACATCCTAATGTGACACGAGAGTTTGATTTTTTATCAGGAAATAATGGTAACATAATAATATTTTATCTGCATTTATCAACTAGCACATCAACAATGAGTTTTGTCACTGTGTTGCCAAATCTTATGACTTGAATTGAGGTTATGTCTAATTATGTTTTTAAATACCTAAATACGTTTATTTTTAATGGTCTTATTAAAATTCTACCTTCTACAACGCATATGGGCTGATTTTTATTTGACTGTGGACCTATACGAAAAAACTGTTCAATCAAAATTTAATGATATTTTTGTTTTAAAATTACTGCCCTGGCAACAATGCTTTGGCGCTCCTTTTCCGATCGGAAATACCGGAGATGCTGAAAATTTAATATTTTTGGCGGTTTTTTTACCGTTTTATCTACCTCTCTTTTATTGATTTTTTCGGTTTAGAGGAAAATGATTTATTAATGAACAACGAAGAAGGGGTGGCTATTTAGTCTTTCTATTAACTTCTTCTAAAAATGTATAAATAATTTATTGTTTACCTAGTAAAAAATAAGTTAAAGGTAAAATATGGTCAAGGATATTTTTAGTTATACATTATCTTTGTTATATCTTTGTTATCCATATTAATCTTTGATATGGTCGTCAAAGTGATCTGAGTTTATATCAATACATATACCGGGTGCGCCTGAAAAGTATATATACTATATATATATATATATATATATATATATATATATATATATATATATATATATATATATATATATATATATATATATATATATATATATATATATATATATATATATATATATGGAAAATATATATATATATATGTATGGAAAAATAGATTTGATCGTCTAATGTTTTTAGTTTCCTGTCCTGTCCGGTTAAAAGATGCCCAAATCGAATTTTAATCATATCTCAATTTTTTCAAATGGAACGAGGGTGGCTCATTAGCATATTCGGAAAAAGCATTTTTTACGAATAATTTGATACCACAAACTTGGTATTTAAACATTTTAAAACTTGGTAAACTTGATATATATATATATATATATATATATATATATATATATGTATAAATATATATATATATATATATATATATATATATATATGGAAAATACATATATATATATATGTATGGAAAAATAGATTTGATCGTCTAATGTTTTTAGTTTCCTGTCCTGTCCGGTTAAAAGATGCCCAAATCGAATTTTTAATCATATCTCAATTTTTTCAAATGGAACGAGGGTGGCTCATTAGCATATTCGGAAAAAGCATTTTTTTACGAATAATTTGATACCACAAACTTGGTATTTAAACATTTTAAAACTTGGTAAACTTGTTATTTAAAAAAAATAACAATTTCAAATAATCCATATGCGAAAATTTCAAAAGTTGACATATGATATGTCATTCTATGACGTCTTCAGAGAGCCATTGGGCGGATTTAGTAAACACACCGGTATCAACCGGTAAAGACCTACCGATAACTTTTTATTGAACGTTCGAAACAACAAAAAATGTAACAGATGACAATTATGACAAAAACTGCGCCGACCGGTATGTACATAAACCGGAAACAAAATACGGTAGGCTCTCAAGTGATCGGTGACCACAACCGGCGAGTTACCATTGGCATTCACTTTAATTTTCTACACCGGTGGACTAACAAAAGACCTACCGATAACTTTTCATTGAACGGAACTGAAAACAAAATACGGTAGGCTCGTAGGCTCTCAACTGATCGGTGACCACAACCTGTGAGTTACCATTGGCATTGGGCGCATTCAGTAAACATACCGGTTAGTCCACCGGTGCAGAAAATTAAATTGAATGCAATGGTAAATCACCGGTTGTGGTCACCGACCACTTGAGAGCCTACCGTATTTTGTTTCCGGTTTATTTACGTACCGGTAACTTGATCGTTCAATGAAAAGGTAGTAGTTATCGGTAGGTTTTTACCGGTTAATACCGGTGTGTTTACTGAATACGCCCATTTTCTATCGAATAAAATAAAAAATACCGAGGGTGCCATTCAAGAACAGTTAACCTAATTAGTTTACCGTTCTTGGGCGCCATTTACAAATCAAAAGTTGTAGTCATATTTCCGGTGAAACCGGAAGTGTCCGAAAACAATTGAATATGTCAATGAATCCTAATTTATGTCATATACTAACATACCAAATCTCGTTGATTTATCTGAAAAAAATAAAAAAGTTATAGGGGTTATAGTATAGTTATATTTTAAAATGCTTATATAATTTCTCATCATTAAAAGTAAATAACTCTTAACACAAGTGTTCTACTGTTGCAGGACCCTGTATGTACCGTTTAGGCGTGGTTGTCCCGTTTAGGCTGAAATCACCCGGTATCTCCGTTATTAGTGAAGATTGGACGATGAGGTTTTCACAAACCTGTCGTATTTTTTTTTGTCAAATGGAAGATGCTGTAAACTGTAACCATTTTTAAAACCCCATTCGTTTCTGAGCTACAGGGTCTTGTTGGAAATTTTGCAATTTGGGATTCCTCGCGTATCTCGCCGTTCTTGTGAAAGGTATCGAAATAGTGAAAAATGTTTCTGGTAGAACTTTTTCCGTAGCAAAAAATAAAATAAACAGACCAAAATATTTTCCGAGATATAAAAGCGAAACTTATATTTTCTCAAATAGAACACGCTGTATATTTTTATATTAGATGATCCAGCTTATTATAAGCTTCTCAAAAATATATAATACTCTCTAAAAAAGAAGAAAAAGATTAAACGGCTCAGCCCTCAACAACTCGTAACCGTATACACCAGTGTACACCAGTGCAGTCACGCACACTCACACAATCACACACCTACACTAGAGCACACTGATGTTACTGCCTTCAGGCTTCATCAGTACGGTAAGGAACCAGGAAGCGATGAAACCGATCCCAAAATACAAAAAACCAGGAAGCAAACGATGCAACGAGGCACCGTGTGCAACCCAGGAGATGAAAAAAAATTGTTGAAGAAACGAAAATAAACTAAAGGTTACGAGTTGTTGAGGGCTGAGCCTTTTTCTTCTTTTTTATACATTTCCCTCACTATTTCTTTCTTGTTCATATTGGTACCACGGCTAAGGGTACTGCGGCGGGTTGCTGTTGGCTACCTCCGTGGCTGTTCTGGACGAAGCCCGCAATCCTGGGCGACTCTGGTTCTTGGCTGCAAATTGGGGCTTTAGGCTCCCGTTTGCTCCTTTTATTTTCCATCATTTATTTTCGTTTCTTCATCAATTTTTTTTCATCTCCTGGGTTGCACACGGTGCCTCGTTGCATCGTTTGCTTCCTGGTTTTTTGTATTTTGGGATCGGTTTCATCGCTTCCTGGTTCTTTACCGTACTGATGAAGCCTGAAGGCAGTAACATCAGTATGCACTAGTGTAGGTGTGTGGTTGTGTGAGTGTGTGAGTGTGCGTGTCTGCACTGGTGTGCACTGGTGTATACGGTTACGAGTTGTTGAGGGCTGAGCCGTTTAATCTTTTTCTTCTTTTTTATGCATTTCCCTCACTATTTCTTTCTTGTTCATAATACTCTGTAATGTAAAAGTGTAAATAAATTTATTTTTATATGCCTAACATATATACCACGTTAACCAGTATAACACCTATACAGTTTTCCTGGTTGACGTAGATCCTGAAACAGTTTTAAATTAGCTGATGTTTTTGTTTCTTAAAATTCCATCAAATTGCATTATTCATGTTAATTAACCGCGAAAGTTCTAAAGCTCATTTTCCTAAGGGCAATAGAGTATAAAAACATTTTAACACGCGAACTACGTCTCTTTTTTATTGCATAGAGTAATAAAAAAACAATTCAGTATTTTCTATTAAAAATATAAAATTAGTACAACAATAAGGGGTACAAACTTAAAAAAATCAAGATGGCGGCGGTTTATGTCGACTGTCATATCATACAGTCTCAGAGCTTTGGCAAAAGCCAGTATCTGAGACGGCTCCAGAGAGGCCAGCGCTCCATCTCCGACATCAGCCGTATCAGTTGTACCTCCCTTGATATAATCGTACGTTTTCTTTAACACTGCAACTGTACAAAAAAAACACTTTAAATTAATAAAAAAAGAGTATTTTAGTACACCTAAACTCGAAAAGTGGAGATATACTAGGTATTATAAAATATTTTCAACTAAAAAATATCAGTAATTTTGTATTTTATAATTTCAGGGGTAGTGTCAATATTTATGTAAAGTATACTAGATTTAAATTAAATTTATTCTAAAAGGTATTGTGACTGTACAAAAAAATAACTTGTGTTGCCCTGAATTTTCTATTTTGATTGGTATTATTAATTTATTTTACGACAATTTTATATTATACCACATTTTATCTTATTATAAATTACTTTGGAAATGATTATTATAAATTACCTGGGAAACGCAACTGCCTCCGTTCCGTTACCTCTCGTGTGCGCCCCTGTAAAAACTACTTGGTGCCACCATATTCTACTATGGTATTTTTAAAATGGGATTTTATTCTTATTCATAAAAGGGCATTCCATTTAAAAATATACAGCTTTAGCTTGAAAAAATATTTGACTCACCCTGTATACAGGATGCGTCTCAAACGTGGCTCACTCCTATAACTTTTAAATCTTTTTCAGACTAAAAACGAGATTCGGTATGTTAGTATATGACATAAATTAGAATTGATGTCAATCAATTCTAATTTCGTCAATATTCACTCAATTTCGTCAATATTCGTCAGTTCATAATTTCGATAATATTCAAAATAGCATTCTCCGCATTTTTTTACTTTATTCGATAGAAAATGACACTTTGAATAGAAGGATGTATCAAATTTTGACATATTCAATAAAAAAAAGCATTTTAAATTTCAATTTAGAGTACCATGGTCATAAACGTAACGACAATTTGACTTGAAATATTAAAGGTGTGGTACCAAATTATTCGTAAAAAATGCTTTTTCCAAATATGCTAACGAGCCACCCTCTTTCCATTTGAAAAAATTGAGAGATGATTAAAAATACGATTTGGGCATCTTTTAGCCGACAATGACAAGACACGAAAAACACTAGACGATCAAATCTATTTCCCAAGGCTACCTTGATTAAAAAATAGTATTTTTAACACAGTTATGGC